CCAGTCCCAAGTGATTTGCTTCCAGCAGGCGTGAGTCAAGTGCAGCCCCTGTGCTTAGATGAGGAGCTGATTAGTTTGAACTGAATGATGTAGGCTGGGAGGTAGGGACGAGGGACCTGGAGGTAAATGCTCTGATGCTGCTCACCTGCTCCTGTTCAAGTGAGGGCTGCCATATTGTTTGTATGAGACTGCATTGAGTCCTGTGAAGAACAGGATCCCTGAGTTCCAGTAACAACACTAATTAATAATTTAAGTCCTTCATCTCTCTCGGAACTCTTTGATCTTCTATTTTTCAGCCCTAATAAATGTCAGCATTATGAAGTATCTTTAATCCACTGGCTTCTTCTAAAACAAGGTAACTTTTGTTTAGGATGGAGGTTAAAAGATGGTGGGAGTCAAAAAGAGAAATTGAGGGGCCATGTTAGTCCCTTGAATATTTGCACCATAGGGCTTTAGTGGGACTGTAAGTGTTTTTTGTAAACTACAAATGTAAGTCCTTTTCAGTAACAGAAATATAATATAAACCATGTTTACACTGAACTGTCTTTTATGATAATGATTAAAAGAAGTGTTTCCCTCAATGTGGAATTAGTTACTCATTGGTAGAATAATCAGAGGTGACTAAACCTACAGTGAATTTGCCTCTGTCAGGTTTCTTCAAAGGAAAATTCTGGCAGAGCCTGGTTTCATTAGGCCACCATGGTCTGTTTGGGGTTTTAGACGTCTGTTTGTGACATTAATATCACTACAGAGTAGATCTAATTAGATATTGTCAGGGTTTGATCATCAAACTTTGAGCTTTTCGTGTAAATGAATATTTAACAATTGAGAGTTACTTTTCTTCATAAAAATTAGTTTCTTGAAATGTGTGTCACAAATAAGAGCATCGTCCCAATACCATCTACTGATTTTTCTTTGCAGAAATGTTCCCAAGCTTAGCACTTGCTCAAGTTATAAACTCAGCCTCAACTCCAGCCAGTGGTAAAACTCTATTAAATAAACAGATTGAAATCAGAGTGGCAGATTTTGTTAACTGACTCTTAAATTTATTATATTTAGAACATTTATTGCATCTAAATATAACTGAAGAACTTGAGAAAATAGTGTTATTGTACTCTTTTGTTCTCTATGTGGCGTCGTCAACATCCCCAGCAAAACCAATAAGTCATCAGTTAGTTACTTTATATTCATCAGTATTCTGTGTTCTTAATGATGCATTAAAGCATTAAATCATTTCTAATCTTCTCTACTTTCTCATAAATGGTCATTTTTATAAGTGTATTTATTTTGGTAATGCTGATATGTGCTGGTTTAGAAAAGGCAGAATGACATATTAGCATTTTTTGTAATATTTGGCTCATTTGTGTTTTTTACAATATGCAGACTTTTACTATATGCCACATAAAACAATTTGGACTCATTTTTCTTTTGCCTTCATTGCATATAAAATCAGAAATTTATTAGAAGAGATTATGTAACCTCAATATGCTGAATTTCCATAAATTGGAAAACTGTCCATCAGCTGCTGGTGATTTGCCTAGAGTAAAGTAGCTTTGTGTGATAATTAGAGAGGCTTCAGGACTTTTGTCCTTTCTCTGAAGATTTTTGGATGAGAGAGAGAGAAAGAGAGAGCGCATTAGTTTAGGAAGGAGGACGGCTTGTAAGTTAGAAAACAGCAATTTTATAATCAATATTGTCCTTAATAGAAACTAATGAGGCAGTTGACAGGATGGACATAAGATGATAAGTGAAATCCTTGACCCAGTTAAGTGTATTGTTTTGAGAAGCTGTGAAACTGTTTACTTTGGACAGTGAGCAAGAGAGCTGGTTTAATGAATCCTGGATGTTAAAAGGGGCAGCAGCGTTGCCTTTTCACTGCCTAAAAGGCTGTCCACCTGTCAGTTTTTCTACTTGTATTTGAAAATAAGGAAAATACTGAGCATGCTTTGAAAGTTGTGGAAGACAAACATGAAGCAATATCTGGCAGGAATTCTGCTAACCTTATCTGACCACAACTGAAGACTGCAAAGACAAGTTCTGATAGGTTGTAGAGGTAATTTTCTCCAGGTTTCTCTTTTCAGTGTTGCTTCTAAGGAAATTGCCACATTATTTTGGCATGTCATCACAAGATTCAGGGCATAATTTCATGACATAGCTGGCTTGAACCCATGGCTTGTTGCTTCTCAAGAGGTGGTCCCAGTTCTTCTGATATATTTTCTAGTGTTTTTTTCTTTTAAAATGTGAAAAATGCCTTTATCATTTCTTAAAATATGATTTAGTTCTTCTAGAAAGGCCAGTCTTCTCCTGTTTAAGCTCCCTAAGCAGTCTCACTGTAGGGTCTAGCAGGAATGAGAGCAAATATGAGACAGTGGCAGGAGTGTGTGGCAGGGATTTAGCAGGAACAAGGCTATACCCTAAGGTAGCCCTCAGCTCATCTCTGCAGCATCATCTAACTGCATCCTGAGGTTGCATCAGTGGGAGAATAGTTAAAGGATGTGAATATACACACCTATCTTTTAATTGATGATACGTCATCATTTCTCACATTGCCAGATTTATACACTCCTGTTTATAGAAAATGAGCTGGAAAAAAAGGTTTTAACGACTGGGTAGTAAATGAGAATAAGGAGGCTGTTTTATTCTGGAAGTTATAGATTGATGTATTGGAGATAAATAATACTAAAGGGGAGAATGAAATCCCAGAGGAACACTACTTGAGATTAGTTCGATCATTTCGATAGTATTAAGATTTGCCATGATGTCTATCAAGATGATGGTAGGTACCAATGACAAAGTGGCAGTGATAACTAAATAGCATAGCCCACCTACTGTGTTTAATTGTGAATTCTTCGAAATGAGTTCCATACTATTGCTGTTTGTGTTATTTATTACTCTTAATGAATCAATGAAATGTAGAACTTCGGATTAAAAAGAACATAATCTACACAATGCTGCGTGCTATTTGCCTGTCTCTCTGGCAAGAGACTCCACATCCCTATTTCCTTAGTACCTCCTTGATCTGCTTTTTTCCGTTGTATTCTGCATTGCCTTCTCTGAACACAGCATCTGTCCTGTTCTTGATCTGCAAAATGATCTTGCTTTTCTTATTTAAATTTCTCCTGCACAGTTATTTCATCTATCATAAAATAATCAAGTTATCCAGGTGTCTAACTTATTTATATGTATGTGATAGGTAGGGTGGTGTGTTGACAGAGGAATTGAAAACTACACAGGTATATGAACCGCATGTCTGTCATCAGTCTTTCTACTTCTGCTTTTATTACGGTTTATTCTCCTGTCTGTGCATGACACATGAAGTTACTTGGGGCAAGGCTTATCTTCTTCTGATGCCAGAAGTCCTGTTTAAATCTAAACAAAAATATATGTAAGGCAATTATAAGGAGAAATCCAGATAATCCAGTAGGGTTAAGCTGATAATTATCTTTCAGCAGTGACTAGCGGCCTGAGACTTGAACTGGTGCCAGTCTGAAGTATTATGAATGTTGGAAGGTGATGAGTAAACCATCTTTTGATAACCAGGGTTTCTTAAGTTGCTCAGAGTCATTATGCAATGCCGTGTATAGGGCTAATGAGATTCTGGCAATTGTAAAAAGAATACAGTAGGGTTAAGCTGATAATTATCTTTCAGCAGTGACTAGCGGCCTGAGACTTGAACTGGTGCCAGTCTGAAGTATTATGAATGTTGGAAGGTGATGAGTAAACCATCTTTTGATAACCAGGGTTTCTTAAGTTGCTCAGAGTCATTATGCAATGCCGTGTATAGGGCTAATGAGATTCTGGCAATTGTAAAAAAAATAATTAGAAGAAACAATACGGTAGCCATCCTGTCACTGAAGTCATCTAACTACAAAAATTAAAAGCCTGAGGGAGAAGATGAATTCAGACTTGGTAGGTGTCTGTATCATCTTGCTTAGAAAAATTAATATATCTTCTACGGCCTGGTACAATAGGGAATTGCGTCCATGACTACAGGAGTGTGAAAGCTCCAGTGCTTCCTTGGGCTTTGTGGCTGTAAAGGCTAATTTTGCTTTTACAGAAAGAAATTGCATTATTATTATTATTATTATTATTATTATTTTGGCAACTGTGTTATGCCTTTTCGGTAATCTATCCTCACCATTGCTTGTCATACCTGGGGGGTCTGATAAAGTTTCAGAGTGAGTTTGTTAGAGTATGAGTTTGTTCTTGAGGAGGGTAATCGATACCAGTTTTTATCTTTCATTCAGTTTTTGTGAGATTTAATTTGGATAAACTGAGCCAACTGGATTTTTTTGCAAGGCCTTGAATGTGATTCATGCGTGGTGAAATTTGAATGCTAGAAGTGAAACTAGCCAAATAGATTTGAAACTAGAGTGACCTGTTGTGAAGTTTCGTCTCTTGGAGCACAAATTTTTTTTAATCTTATAAATGAGAGTCATTATAACCTAACACTAGCCTGGGCCATGTAGTCAAGAATGTACCTTAGGAACAATCCTGCCCTAACAGGAAATGGCCAGAATGACCTAAAAAATATTTCCCATCTCAGAGTTCCATAGCTTTTTGAGGGCAATAATTATGGGTGTGACGCAGAAGGAGACAATCAGTATAAATATGGATATAGTGCAAGTGGGGTAATGGAGGAAAATCATATGCTTTTTTCTTTGAACAATTTGATCAAATAAAGGACAGATACTTTAAAACCATATTTTACAATGTGATACTTCTTAACAAAGCTTTAGTTTAGTGCTGTGATAGAAAGGAAACAGACTGACTCACAGAAAACTGAGATCATTTCTTGGATTGCATCTGGGTGTGAAAGTATAAAGTTGACATTATGGAAGCTATGAAGTGTTTCTTACAGTGCTATAAATGAATCACTGGCATTGACAGGAAGAAATTGAATAAGTACATGATGGGAAACAAGTTCTATTATGAGAAATACTGTTTCTGCTTTAATTTTGTTTTTTATTTCTCCTTCCCCTCCCCTCTTTCCTTTTCAGGGTAAATGGAAAGCTGGTGGCATTAAAAGTGATTAGATTACAAGAAGAGGAAGGAACCCCATTTACCGCTATCAGGGAAGGTATGCACTCACATTTAATGATTATACATGGGTTTTTTTTGTAATTACATTGCACTTCTTATTTCTGTGCCACGCTATAGTGAATAGCTTGAGAATTCATATTATATGGTTATGTTCTCAGTAGGAAGAAACTTTGGTGCTTCAAAAACAAAGCCTCTGGTGTGGGAGTTCTTGTTAAAAGAATGCAATTCTGCCTCTGCTTTGGCTCCTCTTAGATTTACTATACAAATGAGTACTTAAGAGCATGTTTTAAGGTGGGTGTGAGAAGTCACTCTGGAAGATGAGGGAAATGTGTAAGTCTCGCTTCTTCCCTCCAGGCAGCACCTAAGATGAAGGTAGATGTAATTTTTCATATACCCGCAGCATGAAGCGAAAAAAAGCATTTCTTGATGAAGGCAATGGGAAGGGAGCAAAAATACAGGTGTCTTAGAAGCTGTGTGTAGTTTGGGACTAGCTTTTGTTTGTTTTTCCTTCCCCATGGACTCTAACTTGTGTGGCTTGGGAATGACTCTTATCTAGCGTGCTCGGAGATACCTGTCATGCTTTCTGCTCTGCTCCTTTATCCTTCCTTGTCAGCCCCTCGTGGTCCCTAGTGACAGCTGCTTTATCTGAGCCTGCCTGTGTCGAGCTCCTTTGCAGAAATTGCTGGATGTGCCTTCTCTGCATGGGCCTCTTCTGGTAGAAGGTACTAAAAATGAGCCTTGGTAGAGAAATAATAAACAATTTACCATCACACCACTGATTCAGACTCAGCTGAAGTTGGTAGCGAACTAAAGAGACGAGACCTTTGCAGCTTTTGAGGGACCTTTTAAAACTGTGCTGACTATCTTGGCCTAATTCCCGAAGTGGGATGAGCCAGGGAGGTACCAGAACATCAGCTCTCACAGAGTCCACAGCGTGGTCCTGCATGGGAGGTGCAATGGCTTTGTGGCCATTGCAGCCGCAGTCGCAGAAGCTGCAGCTCCCTTATCCCTCGCTCCTGCCTATGTTCCTGCAGCTGTCCATATGCTGTATGTCTGTCTGTACAATGAGCCCGTTTTGGGGGTGGACTGGGCAAAAAAAATCCACGTTGCGTGTGATTGACACTCTGAAGTTAGAAACGTTTAAAGTACTGTGGATTTCCATCCCAAGGTTGTGCATTTTAAAGGGGGCTCTTCACAAAGGAGGGAAAACCATGGGTGGCCAATTTATGAAGGAATTTCAGCAGTTCTTCTGTACTGCTTTGTTTGAGTAATAATTATTGAATGATCTGACACATTTATTCATTATACATTTTATCTGTGAGCTGTCTGTCCCCACAGCTGTGCCACGATAACAAGGTGTGCAGAGGGTTACAAGCACAGCTTTCAATATTTGTAATGCCGAGTTCAAGGCGTAACAGCCTGTGTTTCAAATATGTTTATTGTTATCTGGGTTTTTAGTTGATATAGTACTGACTTAATAAGAAAATAGTAGATACGGGTTTCTTGCGCCTTTTTAGTGACACTTAAAAGGTTTTTTAATGTGAGCTTGGTCTAGATGAAAGTTTATAGTGTTATAACTGTCAAATACAGTATAATGTGTTTTCCTTCATAGTTTGTTGTGTGAGCTCAGTATAAATAAGTATTCATTAGGAGCAAGACCAGAGATTTTTCCACTTGATTTTTTTTTAAATTATAAAGGCACGCTTGCATGAAAATACTTTTCACACTGTCATTGGAGAAGTTTTCCTTTTAGCTGTGACTACAGCACTGTGGTTGAAGCCAGTTAAAATACTTTAGTATTAGTAGAACAAAGAGCTTTTCTAGACAAGAGCTTAAAGTTATTAATTAATACATATTTTCTTAAGTATGCGGTGTCTCACTGATTTTGATGGGACTATATGCATCCATTGTATTTCTAAGTACTCATCTAGGCTGGGACTAGATCCAAAGAGTATTAGGCTAATGAGAGAGTTTTTTCTCGACTTTTGTAAACTCTTGGTTAGGTGGGGTCAAACTCAGGTTATAGGTTGTTTGTTTGTTTGTGGGTTTTTTTGGTAAATGTAATCCTGTCTCCTGGGTAGTGGAACTTAATTCAGATCCGTAGGAGCTATTAGTAGAAATGCAGTCTTGTATGTTTTATATCATGTAGAAGTCAGACATACATGATGTGTAAGATCGGAAGGGGAAAAATCTGTATTTAGTTAGGCTTTTCTGTTGTTTGTTTTAATTTTGTCAGAAACAGATATTAGGGCCAGAAAAGGACGGAAGGCTGTATTACGAATGTAACTTTCAGAAGGTAGCCTCAGCGATGTTGTGCCAGACCTGTATTTTTGATAGTAACGCTACAGCTGTGGACTTCACTAGCAGGACCTGAGGAAGCTGTTGCTTTCCTCTTCGCAGCATCTAATCTATCTTGGACATGCTGGGTTCTGTAATGCAGCCATGGCTGATCTTAACTACATGGGGGGGGAGAAATGCTTGTATAAGCTCTTGAAGTTATCTGATAAGTTTGAGACAGAAAAAGAGTAAGGACACTGTGTTAAGCAGATTTTTCTTTATCTCTGTTGGCTGGCTGAGGGCTCCAGCCCTATAATTTAGACCAGGACAATTAGAACAAGGATAAATACCACTGAAGATGAGATCAACTTCTAATTTCAGTTATCTGAGGAGTAGTGTTGCCCTAATAAAAAAATGCATGTATGGTATCATGAGCCAGAGGTCTGTTGGAGGGCGTTTCTTTCCAAAGTCTTTCATCATGGAGAAACCAGGCAGGTTTTGACCTTTACTTATTCCTTATTTTCTAATTTTCCATCAATGCAAGGCAAATTCAGGCAGAAGTCTAGTTATTTATAAATTAAAACTACTGTAAGTACATTGTTTAACATTTCTCATGGCTCCTTGTGTAAAGCAGTGAGAGAAAATAAGATTCCTGCGCTGTGCTCCTAATGGGGATGCTGTGTGATGTTAATTAGGGGGAAGTTACAGGCTGAAATCTTAAGCAGTGGTCATGCTGAGGGGAATTTTGTAGCTGTCTCTGTACAGGGAAGCTATTGTTACTGTTGTGACAGCAGCAGAATGAAGCTCAAAGAAAAACAATGCTACAAAGAAAAAAGACTAACAGAAGTAGGAAAATGCAGGATATAAATATGGAACATGTGACTGCGGAAACAAGCACTAACTTGGTTGAAACAAAAAATGGAAGGAAAAGTAAAAAAAAAATCCCCCAGTAAAGCTGCGTAAGAAAAATCATAGTTACTGTTAATGACTGGGAGAGGTTTAGCTGAAACTTTGATTAAAGCTTATAAAGTAATTCTGCTTTTACAGCAGATGTGGGTTTGTGTCTTCTACCATTTATCAAAGTTACATAGGTTTGAATGAAAATAGAATCATAGAATCATTAAGGTTGGAAAAGACCTCTAAGATCATCGAGTCCAACCGTCGACCTAACACCACCATGTCCACTAAACCATGTCCCTAAGCGCCTCATCTACATGTCTTTTAAATACCTCCAGGGATGGGGACTCAACCACTTCCCTGGGCAGCCTGTTCCAATGTTTCACCACTCTTTCAGTAAAGAAATTTTTCCTTACGTCCAATCTAAACCTCCCCTGGT